TCTACCTTGTATTCTCTACCAGCAACCAGACCGCTTGTTACCAGCATGAAGGCCTACCTCGCATTCTCTACCAGCAACCAGACCGCTTGTTACAAGCATTCCTTCATTCATCAGCTAATCATAAGGGCTTTTCCTAATGCAATGACCAAATTACTACTCTACATTGTACGTTGTTTGTTTGTATGCAGTGATATGTTCAAACAACCTTAGGATTTCCCAGCTTTTGATTAAAGTCGCTGTTTTTTGTTTTGTTGTCATTATTTGGCTATTTTTTAGGGTTGCATCAACCTGGGCACAGCTGAAAACAGGCTCGTGTTTGATCTACTGAAAGAAAGAGTAGGTATCTTATTGAAATACACACATGCACCTGTAATTAACTGACCATGTGCCCCTGAGACTTTGAGACGTTTGTCTAGATACAAGGAAAGTTTGGAATTTTATGTAATTGCTGAAGAAGTGACAGAAGAAAAAGCAGAATCTGTGGCATTGCCCATTTTTTATTGTTTTGTATAAATTTCCCTTTGTCTTTTGCACATTTTAAGCTCATGTTTTTGTTGCTATTTGATAGTTTGTGCAGTTCTTCTAGCATTGTTTGTTTTATACGACAATGTATTGTGTTGTTTTGTGAGTTCTCCTGCAGGTATCCAACACCTGTTTGGAGATGTTCTTGGCAAATTGTGGTTTTTACCAATGCACACTTTCTTGTTTTAGATGAATGGATACAATGTTCAATGGGAAGACTACATGTATACCTACCAAAACTCCCAAGGAATTCCAGAACTCCGGAAAGCTGTTGCAGGATTTCTGAGTGATCAAGCCAAATCTCCAAAGCCGTTGGATCCTGAAAATGTTAGTTGTTATGCCAAGAATTTAGATTTCTCCTATCAATCTCAGTTCTTGCAACAAATCTTCAAATGAATACATATCCTTTTATTGGCATAACTAATCTGTAAAAATTGAAACTGTTGTGTGGTAGATAAGTCAATGAATAGGCCGGCAGTCAGTTCAGTGTTGACAGAATTATCCAATGTTACTTTTATTGGACTGCAAGGGTTGATTTTGGTCCGTTGTGCTTTATTTGTAGATCATTATTATGAATGGAGGCGGAATTTGTATGGAAGCATTGTCATTTTCAATCTGTGATCCTGGAGGTAGGTGATAGGGTGACTTTGAATGAATTGGGTTAGGATGGACAGGGCAGGGTGGGACTAGGTAGGCCCCCTGGCTGGGCTATTGGTTCCAACAATTAAGACGCTTATGTCGCAATTCTCTGTAAACGGCTCTGGCCTAGGCAGAGCAGGATGGATGTGACTTGGAGGAGGTAATGTAGGCGGGGAAAATGCAGAAGTGGTGAAATGAAATGAAGAACGGTTGTTAGGTGTGGTTAGGGTATTTTAGTGGGCGGGGCTGGGTCACACAAGGACAATGTCACTGATTCTCTTTCGTATTTTGACATTCTAGATGGCGTGATGGTTGCTTCACCGTATTACGGCGGAATTGAAAATGACATTGTATTAAGACCCGAAGCTAAGATTATTCCTGTCCATTTCTACAGCAAGGTATGTTGCTACTTCTTATAGATATAATAGAGCGTAGTTTGTGAAACTTGAATTCTAGCTTATGGTTTCCCATTCTTGTTTATTTTCCTCATAGTCTGAGCCTGGACTGACTGAACCTTTTGAAATTACAATCTCTAAGTTTGAATCGGTATACAAGGAAGAAACTGAAAAGGTGAGTAAAAGTTCTGGTTAGGTGAATCCAGAAGGAAGTGACATGTCTCATTAAAATAATCTCGTTGAGAAGTTGTGAAAGAAATAAATTGAATGACCAGACACCTTTACTAATCAGCGAACGCTGTCATTTCATGGATGTTTCTGTTTCAACTTTTGGTCAGTGTGTTGCGTTGAATTTTGAACTGAGTCACTGGTGTAATTGTCTCAAATCTTGAATTTGAAGCGAGTCGGTAAAAATGTAATTAGGAGCTTCTATAACACGAGGATTCCAATGTAGAACTTTCTAGTTTTTCCTGGTTTTATGGCAAACAATCTAGAAGTTGCATAGTTTCAAAAGCTTGACAGATAGTTTTGTGTCATTGTTTTTTCAGGGAATGAAAATCCGAGCCGTTGTCTTCATGAATCCCAATAACCCACTTGGAGATGTGTATCCCAAACAAATGGTTCTAGACATGTTACATTTCTGTCACAGGTGAATGCTAATCAAATGATTTCATTTCTGTTCATTTACTGTTTAAGGACAAACAGTGTCATACAGATATCTGTGTTCTAAGTAAGTTTTCTAAAATCTTTCAAAGCCATAGCCCAACCAAACTTAGCAAGTCAGAATACTGGCCTTCAAAAAGATTGTTGACTGCCAAAAACAAACATCAACACATTGCACTGACTATCTTCTCACATTAGGTTCAGTTTGATTAAGCTGCTAAGTGAAGGTTTCAAGGGAACTTAAAGCTTAAACGTTTAGAGCACCAATCAGTATTGTTTAACGATAAGTTTGGTTGTCTTTTGTGCTAAGCAATGCTTTATGTTTGAACGTGACGTATTCTTGCAGACATTCACTCCATCTGATCATGAATGAAGTCTACTTAAACTCCATCTTCAAAGAAGAAGTGGCATTCCAGAGCTTTCTGAGCCTCAAGCCAGAGGAGGTGCCAGACCCTGAGAAAGTTCACTTCG